AATTTAATAACTTTAACGTTAACTGTTTCAAATTATACATGCAATACAAAATAATTATGTGCAGTCTAATAAACCTAAAAACTAAATATGAACATCTAAACTGATATGCTAGAGTGTTGTGCTAGACTGCTAGCTTTAACAGTGTAATTATTTTCGGTATTACAATCTGTGATAATAGCGAAAATGTAGTATTTGTTTGTTCTCATTTATTTCTTCACACTTTTATACGACGTGACAATTCAAATGGAATTGCATTGGTTCCTAAAAAGAATTCCAAATTATCTAAATATATATTTTTAGATATTAAAATTACATTTTTTTCAGAAAGATTAAAGTTACAATTTTCCTTGTTGTTAATGTACAAAATAATTTACGTTTAGTAATAAGAACAAACTTCCGATAAAAAAAAAACTTTGTTTCTCACAGAAAAGAGATAAGGCTGTAAGAAAGTGACAGAGACACAGGAAAGGAAACATGCATTGTGGCATTGTTAGCTCTGAAGGAAACAAATACTCAAAAATTGTGGCATATAAAAACAAAAATAACATCAATATTCTTTCAGAAATTAATATATTTTGTATCTAATTAGTGGTAGGTGTTTTAACAAGAAAATGATAAAAGATACAGTGAAAATGTAAAATAGTATTTGAAATTTCATAAGAAAAAGAAAGCAAAATAAGACAAATTTATTTACTTTTTAATGGCACAGACGAGGATATAACAATTTCAAGAGTCGTATGCAGCATGGTTTGCAGAGACAAATATACCCTGTGCCTGTAACATCCTACTCAGTTTTCAAATTTACTAAGGCGTCGATTGGTACAGCAGATGATAAAGCAGTATGATGTATGTTGTAGAAGCAATATGGTGCAGAAGTTGTATGTTTTCATTAAAATATTTAATAAAGTGATTGGCAGAGCAGTAACAATATACAATTTTAAAATTATCATAATAATTAGTATAATAATATATTTCCTTTAAAATTTTATTTATATATTTATAATATATATTAATGATATATTTTATTTAAAATAATGAATCTTGTTCATTATATAAATTATATTTAAAGAATGAAAAATTTATTTTTAAAATATTAAATTATTTTTTGGATAGAAACATATTTGAGTATTAATAAATTAATTAATTATATATAATTTATATATAAATTATTATTATTTATTTATTAGTAGAGCAGTAAATGATTCATATATAAAATTATCATAAAAATTAATACTTATATGTTATATAATTTATTTATTAGCATCTAAATAATATGCATATATCTATAATATATAAATATATATTATGTTATGTTTGTTATTAAAAATAATGAACAATATATGTAATTATATAAATAGATTATATTTTAAATGTGGATTATTGCTCTTTTAAAAAATTTAAAATATTTAATTAAAAATCTTATTCTTATTTTTTAAAATGTAAATTTATTTTTTGATTATAAAAATATTTTTATATTATTAAACAAAAATAAATTAATTATATCTACTTATTTTTAAGTTTTAGATAGTCTATCTGTAAATGCTCTCTCAAAAGCTCTATATGAAAGCATTGAACAAAGAGCATTTGGAAAACATTTGCATTTGGTAAATGTTTTTTAAAATGCTTCTTTAACAAGATTGATTGGATAATAAAGAGCATAATGCTTATGGTAATGCTCTACCCTTTCATTATGTGAATCACCCTTCACACGTACACAAGAAAAATTAGATTATTAATAACAAAATAAATTAATAAATTTCATTAATTCCAAACTAATATAAAATATGATATAAACCGATAAGATAATAAATTTTTTAAAACTTTATATAAATATATAACTAACTCCAATGTAAACATAAATCTTATATATTAAAATAGAAGTTATGATTTCACTTCATGTGTGATTTTTTTTTTACTTTGGACAATCACTTAGAATTTTATTAAATGTATTTTGTTAAGACTAATAATATATATAATCTTTATAATACTTTAATCATAATATCTTCTGATATTTTTCATTTTAAATATAAATATATCTATTTGAAAATTCTAACAAATCGGTTTTGAATTTTTTTTACAAGATCTTCATTTTCGATATTATCTTTAAATATTTTCACTAATTTTGAAAATCGTTTGAAATATTATTATACATTAATATATTCAGTTAAAATTTAGGGGAAATTTGGAAAAATATACTGAAATGAGATTATAATTTGAACACTACACCGTTATTTTGAGTTTTTGGAAAAATATACTTATCTATATGTAAATTTACATAATTTCCAATATTAATATTCCTCAATTCTTAATATATTTTTTAAAAAATATGTTAAAAATTAGGAAAAATCCTTAGAGAAAAAAAGGTAATAGTTTTTAAAAATTTTGTTAGAGAATCTACAGAATATTTTCTTATATTGTGAATGAAAATAATATAGGGAATAATATATAAAAAGATGATGATGTAGAAATGAAACCTTAACTATCTCATATTCAAAATCAAAAAAAATTATTACAAATGTTAGTAGTCATTAAAAACCTACTCGATAGATATATTGACTTCTAGGAAGAATGAATATTTTTGTAGAGAATACGTGAACTTATTTATATAAGATTAAGAAAATAAAATAAAATTCATATAAACTTCATGATAAAGTCAAAATAAATCACAATTTATTTTATTTATGAATATCTTTGTTATTTTTAAAAAACATTTATTGGTAAAAGACCATATTTATCTCAACATACATATTTATCTTAAATATTAATAATTTCCCTTATTATTATTAATTTTCAATTATTTTTTAATTATTTAAATATCCAATTTGGATAAAAATGTAATTTCACATTTGATTAAGGTGTAGGTTTCAAAAAATAAAATAGAACATGTAACTTTCAAATATCAAACTGATAATCGGGTAATTTATAAAATGAAAAATAAAATCTTATATCATATTATCTATTATATAATCATAATCAATTATATTAAAATAAAACTATTATATTAATCTAAATATAATAAAGATGTATTAAATTGTTATATATATATATATTTGATTTTTGTAAGTATAAAATATTTATGTTCAAAAATAAAATCTAATGTGTTGGTAAGATGGGTTAACGTCAGCAAACTATATAATACATGTATATAAATTAACATGTATTTCATTAAAGCTAATAATATAAAATATTTATAACTACTTTAATCATGATATCTTTTCATTTTAAATATAAATCTATTATATTAAAATAGAAGTCATGACTCACTTCATTTGTGATATTTTATTTTGGACCATCTTTAGAGTTTTATAAAATTTTATATAACATTATAATATCTTTTCATATCTTTAATTTTTGTTTGAAATACAAATAAATAGTTATAAAAAATTTATAACAAAATCTTTTAAAAATCTTTTAGAATCTTTTCAAGATATAATTTCAAAGAGTATTTGATTAAAATTTTAATTATCATAAAATATAATTAATTTTTTAATTCATTTTTTATAGAATTATAATGTTATGTAAAATTTTATAAAACTTTTTAAAAGATTATAATGTAATTCATTTTTTGACACGATTTTTAAAAGATTATAATGTTATGTAAAATTTTATAGAATTATAAAGATGGTCCAAACTAAAATATCACACATGAAGTGAGTCTTGACCCGCACAACCGTGTGGGTTCTATTTTCAATTTTATCTGCATATATTTATTTTAGATCATTTTTAATTTTAATTATATATTTAAATATTTATATAACTATTTCAAATAAAATAATATATAGTTTACATGTTGTAAATAATCAAATGTTTAAAATAATTACATGTATTTGCTACATCTTATTATATATTTATCTTATTGTATTTGTATTTGGTTATCAAAAAAATTAATATGTGCATGAAAAACATATTTGAAAAGTATTTTGTGTTTAATATATGTTAAATTTGGACCGTCTTCAAAACTCGATTTCCTTTTAATAATATTTTATGTTTATTCATTTTACATAATAAATTATTGTATATACAATAGTTTAAAATATTTTAATGTTTATACATGTATTGTAGTCTGTTAGCATATTATATATTTAATATAAATATTTGATATTTATGAAAATAAACTCTATAACTCTATTAAATTAATATAGTTTTATAATATGTATTTCAGTATAAAAATTTTATTTTACATGGTTGAATATTATGATTATAAAATAGATAGAATTAGTATTAATTTCATTTTTAATTTTATAAACAAAAATTCTATATATATATATATATATTAATGCATAATAATAGTCCATTTCTAACTACAAAATTAGTGAAATTTTTTACATACACTTTTTGAAAATTAAGATATTGTTAAAACATTTAGATCAAGATAATAATTTTCTTTTAATATGATTGATTGTGATTATATAATAGATAAAAAGCGATAGAATATTTATTTGTTTTTTAATAATGATAACTAAATATATTAATATATAATAATATTTCAAAACTAATCACGAAAGTATTGCAAATATTTATATCTAATTTTGAAAATTAAGATCTTGTTGAAATCTTCTTAAACAGCTTTTTCAAAAATTTTAATATATATATAATTATATTTTAAATGAAAAGATATCAAAAGATATTGTGATAAAAGTATTTCAAAGATTCTATATATTATAAGTCTTCTTAAAATACATTTAATAAAAAAATAAGAGTGGTCCAACTTAAAAATCACACATGAAATGAGGTTGTGACTTCTATTTTAATATAATAGATATGATTCCTTTAATAGATATAGATAATTGGCATGAAATCTTATTTTTGTATTATAAAACTATTCCACTAAGATATTGTACCTATAAATTATATGAGTAATAAAGAAACTAAATTCAATTAATTGAAAATGACATAGTCATCCCTGTATCAACTTTATAAATAGAGGTGTAAGTTCATTTTATAACATATTCATAGTTTCATATACAGAAGAAAAAAAGAAGAAAAAAACATATAGAAAAATGGGTAAAAATTTGAATGCTGTATGGATACTGATGATGATCATAGCGGTGTTTGTGATTGGAGGTGAAGCCAAATCGGAGACAGAATGCAGTATTATTTGCCGTCCTCACTGCGGACCTTTTAAATCAGCAGGAGAATGTTCCGACTGTCACAGAAAATGTAACCAATCTCCACCATCCATGAGGACAAAGATTCTGAAGCTTCAAAACGGCAACAAACAATATGATTTACATAACTAATCAACAACATATGCTATGATTGTATTGGTGAAAGCTTAATCCAGATTTATTACTTCACCATTTCTGTATTTTCTCCTTATAAATAAGATTACATTTTATATACTCACTTTTAAGTGACCTTCGTATTGGTGAAATATAATCAACTTAAAATACATAAACATAACTATTTGTGAAGGTAAAATTGGCTAATCAATTTATTCATATATATAGTTTTCATTGCAAAACAATTCGGTTATGACATTTGAATGGGTGCATACCTCTAGAGCTGCCTACATTAATATTAAACTAGATCTTGACTAGCACCACCGCATGGGTTTTTTGAATAATAAAATATTGTAAGCCATACAGTAAAATTTATCAATAAATTAATATAATTTGATGTTATATATTATCTAACTTTATAATAATATTTTTGTGGCTGATAATAGTATAACTATGAAATTTATAAATTAGTACTTATTAATTTACATTTCTTTTTTTATTACCAATTTGAAATATATGTTAAAATTAAATCAAATTAGACCTACATAATGGAGAAACAAAATTTAGATCTCAACTTGCACAACCATGCGACTTTTTTTAAATATTAAAAAGTTTTAGATTATAAACTAAAAGTTATAAATATAATAATATAATTTCATGTTATATATTATCTAACTTTATAATAATATTTGTGTTGTTTCTAATATTATTATTATAAAATTTAAAAATTTATATTTTTAACAGTTTTTTTAAACATTAATCTGTAACAATAACAATTATTATATTTATAAATTTAAAATATATGTGGAAATTAAATTGAATGAATAAATTTTTAATTATATTTATGATAAATAAAAATTCAATTAACTGATTTTGGAAAATATATTTTAAAAAATCTAAAATATTTTTAAAAGTTATTTTTTAAAAAAAATCTATAATATTTTTAAAAGATACTGTTAGAATTTCTATAAAGATATTTTTTGTATTTTATATAAAAATTAAAGATATGAAAATATATTATAATGGTTTTAGGGTGTTTTCAAAACCAACCCACAATTTCAATTCAACCCCAAAACAAACCTCTTTTTTTTCATTACTATTCACCTTTGAAAGTTCTAATTATTTTCTAAGTTTTTGAATTATTTACAAAATTACCATTATATATTTATTTTTTATTTATTTTGAAAATCCTAAAAACCTTATTACACACTAAACATTTTTTTTATTGACAACAACTTCATTATTATAAAATTTTCAACCACTATTAACAACCATTTTTGAGCTCTTTAAACCTTTAGAATTCAATTTTCAACCATTTTTAAGTTTCTAAGCAAAGAAATCTTCATTCCCTCTCTATTTTCATATAAAAAACTTTCAAAACTTTCATTTTCATAAGCACAACTTCATATTTTCGAGTGTACTCTGTTGTGAGTCATCAAAGTTGCTTCTTTTTGCTCATATTTGGAGCTTGGACGGTGAAAAAGGGTGGAAACGAGCTTTACACCGGAAAAAGGTACCTAATTACATGGTTTTCCTCATTTTTCAAATATGTGTCGCGATAGTAGATTGTTTTGTACGTCTACACATACGTGCATGCTTACACTGCGGTCTACAAGTCAACGCACATGTTAGTATTGCAATTGACCAAAATAACTTTTTATGAAAAGAAGACTTCCCTGGAAGTTTACGTCATTAACTTTGATAACAAAAATAAAAAATGAGATAGACTTACAAAGAAATCTACGTAAAAGAGGTTAGGTTTGCATTTGACCGAACTTTTGACTTTTCAATGTATACTTCCTCGACAATATACAGACTCTACCAAAGAAGTCTACAAAAAGTCTGTTTTGTATTTGACCCAAACTTTAACTCCGTTGAATAGGTTAATTTTGTTTTTGACTAAAATGTTAAAAAGTTGACCAAAAAAAAACCGTGTAAACTTCAATTTCAGTATACTAATTTTAGGAAAAAAAAAGGTAGACTGCACATGAAGTCTACTATTTTATTTTGGTCAAATGCAAAACTAACCCCCCGTATTTGAGAGTAAATTTCGTGTGAAGTCAACAGGTATGTAAACATTTGTTTCCGTTTACTAATAGAAAGTCAAACTTGGTCAATTTCAAAACTAACCTCTTTCAAAAAAAATTCAAATAGACTGCCACTAAAGTCTACTTCCGTAAGTCAAATCTTGGGTGATATTTGATCAACTGAGAAAACTAACCTTTTTGATATATAGACTGAAATGAGAGTCTGCATGTATAAAATCACAAAAAAAAAAATTCAAATATAGAAAGTAACCCGTAAAATTTTCAATTTTTCAATGACAGTCTACATGTGTAAACTGTAACGAACTTCTACATTTACACATACTACTTATGGAGTCTATATTTGAAAATATATTAAAAGTAAGTTTTTGTATTATTCATTAAGTTTTTTCAAGATTTTATTGTTTGATAGTGTGTGTTAGTTAATCATAATATGTTTGAGTGATCTTTAAAAGAAAATATGTTATATTAGTGAAATTATGATACTTTTGATTTGATCATGTAGTTAGCTAATAATCACAGACGTATTGGTAAGTCTACTTTATAGTTTTTTGAAACATGATCGCTAACTATGTAGACCCTCATATTTTTTTACAGGAAATGGTTCAGTTACATGTTGCTGTGTATGAACTTATGTTTAATTTGTAGGCTTCTTTTATATTCTTACTAGTGGTATTCCGGCGCTAAGCGCCGGATTTTTATATTTTATTCTCTAATGAATCCAAAATTATTTATAATCTTGAAATTACCAGTATCTATGAATAAACTCTTACATCATGTATGTTTCTTTTTTTAGATGATTCATATGATGTTGTTGGAAGTTGTTACATTTTGGTGGTCGATAAGGGTTTCTAACAAACGTTTAATGTGTTTTGTAGTTATTGAATATTCTTTATTTTTGTTGTTCGTCAGGATATATCATGTATGCATTATGGGAGGTTGCATTATATATTATTATATTATATCTTCAAAAGTATCTAGTAGAAAATGGAGGTTTCTGTTTCTAAATTTATTTGTGAATGGATTAATTATAGATTTTATTTTTGGTATACTTCTATAGTTTTACAGTCGTATGATTGTCTTAGTTGGATATGAGTGTGTAGTGAAAAAGATAAATAACATGTGGCAAAAAGGGTAACTATTAATAACTTTTAAATTTTCTTTTGTTTGTTCTGGTTTTGGCTGTTGTATTAGTGGTTAGTGATAATTCTCTTAATTTTCATTAATGTAGGAGTTAATTTCATGTGGATTTTGGAGCTTAAATTGTAGGTGATTTGAGGTGACTGATGAAGAAGTGATAGGGTACGGAAACAGATTTATTTATTTGGGTTAAGTGTCTATTTGAAGCTGGATGTTATGTCTCATGTCAATGTATTTTACAACGTGCTTATTTTATTGGTTTATTATGTTTCTAGACTTTGATTTCTATGTAACTATTTTTTAATCTATTAATGTGTTTTTTGTCACATTTGTTGTTGTATTTAGTAATTTTTTTGTGTAATGTTTTAGATTAGTGGTTGACCATATGTAAGAAAATAGAGAATACCAACATGAGAGATAACGTGGAAATGCATATGACAAATTATACTTCCCTAAATCTCCAGAAATAGCTGAAGATCGATTTATTTCTACTGCCAATCTTTCTTCCTAAAAGTCCACCAAACCACATCAACCCTTCATCATTAAACTCAATAAATATTAATACCTTCTTCCTTAACTTGTGAAAAGATCTCAATCTTAAATCCATGATCAACTTTTCATATTTGCTAATTCTTGTAATAATAATTTTCAACAATTGTTACGCTCGTAAGATTAGTAAAATAATGGAGAAATCTACGATAATGGGATTCTGAAAATTATTACCTTGTCGTCGGTCAAGATCAATTAGCTTCCAGGTTCTTTTTTTTTTTAGATTTCAGACTTCTGAAACATAATCAATTTCTTCTCACATATGTTAGGAACAACTTCGTGTAAAAAACCTATATACAGATGTAAAAGAAGCTTACGATTGATTTCTTATTGTTACTACTCTGAAGCCGGCAGCTTTGATAATACACAGTGGGAAAGATAGGGGATATGTCTGAGTTTAACGACGGCTTGGCCTAAATGGTTGAATAGAGGTAATGAAAAGGTACTGGTAGCAAACATAATCACTTTCCGATACAATTTGGGTATTGTACTTTGGACCTAATAAAGTTAATAGTTCTCTTTACTTAAGCTTATCATCTAGTTATTATATGAGAAGTGATTTGACAATGTCAGTACACGATCATTTTCACCAGAAAATGAGGACATAACTTTTTAAAAAAATGACATGACATCAACTTAATTATGACATGTAAAATTTTTTAGATAATTTTGACTTTTTGCAAAGTTTTTAAAATATATTATTAGCTAATATTTTTTATAATATCACTAAAAACAAATTTATGTATACATATTTATTTATTTTGGCAAGACTTTTGAAATATTATAACTAATAAATCATATATCACCACTACAATATATATGTATGCAAAAACAATTCACATTAACTTATATATCCTATGTTTATAATTATATATATATATATATATATATATATATATTATAATTATTTGTATATTTTCTTTAGGATACAGAACTAAAAAACATTAATGAAATAAAACTTTGTTTTAATTAATCTATAAATTTTTATTAGAATTTATTGGTTCATTAAGTAAACTAAAATCTTTTTTACCATAATATATTTTCAGCTAAAACAAGAAGATCTAAAACTTTTTAAAATTTATAGATTTAAATATAGATATACTTAAATTAAAGATAAGAATGTACTTGAAATAAATAGTTATTAAATAAAATAAATATTAAAACATAAGAATGTGACACATAGCATTTTTCCCCCCTATGGAGAGAAAAAAACCAACTTTATTATATAAGATGTAGTGTTAAACAAGTATGATATCTGTAATGTAGATTTTTTAAAATGTGTAC